TTTGTGTCCGGTCCATAGTGTTTTAATCAATCAAGGGATTTTGAAATAACTTGGCACAAACGTTCACCATAATTAGACAATTTGTCATGCGTAACACCAGATGTCAAGGGCAAAGCTTAATATGGTCTGTTATAGGGTAAATTTTGTGTCCGATCCATAAATTGATATTTCAAGAGATTTAGAAATTGCTTGGCAAATGTTCACAACAGATGTTCAGATCTATAGTTTTGATAGTTCAAGAGATTTTAAAATTACTTTGCACATATTCACAATAATTGGACGATGTGTCATGCGCAACACCTAGACCCCTACCTGCAAGGTAAATGTCAGAGCTTTAGCATAGGTCTGTCCGCTCCATAATTGTTTCATCCTTCAAGTGATTTTGAAATTACTTGGCACATGTTCACAATATCGGGTAACGAGACGGTGTGTTATGTGCTTCACCCTGACCCCTACCTTCTATATCAATGTCTCACTTGGGGTCATAGCTTAACATCATCTGCTATAGGGTATATTTTGTGTAACTTTCTCATCAACTATCGGATTTAACAATTGCTTGACGCAAATGTTTAAAATTATAAGACGACTTGTCATGCATAACAACCGGACCCCTATCTGAAAGGTCAAGGTGACACTAAGAGGTCACGGCCTTACATGGTCTGTTACAAAGTATGGTGTCAAGTCAAGCCAAAGCAAATAAAATGTCATTGGTGAATCGCCCACATACATTGATTGGTGAAAAACTTACGGAGCAGACACAAAATAAACGTTTTAACAGACCAAACCATTAATTGATTTTGTATTTGTCAAATTTTTGTGGTTTTAAAATAGTGATAACAACTAAACAAATGTATTTCTGTTGACACATACACGGAAGTTATTCTATTCAATTTACATTTTGTATTTAACGAACTTACTGTTGCATGTGCAGATCTACCATTGATCAAAATTTTACACTGGAAGGCCATTTCCATACCTCAATCTTTTTAAAAAAGCACAATTTTGTGTTTGAGGTAAATTTTGTTGCGGACGTTGGTATTTCTGTTCCAAATTTATGTTTGTTGTTTTTCATCTCTCACTAGCATCCTGCATTTGTATTGAATAAGAGTAATCACAATGGACTATTTTTTTGTAGTTGGTCAGTAGCTTGGCTTGTCATAAAATACAAAATGGCCACAATTCAACAAAATTGACAATTAAATAATTATTTTCCTTCACAAAATTATAGATATAAAAAATCATGTTATTTTTATATAGTCATTGAACCTTCCGTCCGTCTGTTCGAACGATGTTAACCTAAACCGACAAGTTGAATTTTTCTTAAGTTATACCTGAACCAATTGCTTCACAATTTACACACTTACTAATCAATACATATGGAAGCTATTCGTTGCCAAAAATCCAGCCTTGTTGATCTGAATTGAACAGTTTTTTAATGGACAAAATACAATAATTTTATTGTATTTCTTTGTAGGTAAACTCCAATGTTGCATTCTTGGATTGAGTTTGCCGATTTAACATTGTGAACATGCATTTCAACAAAATACATTTTGTTAAACGACAAAACATTAACTGTTTTGCTGATACTAGCAATACCAAGTTTTTGAATACTCATTGTTCGTGTATACGCCGACAAATCTTAGCTTTACATTGTCGAACCATCATGATTTGGATCAGCATTATCCAGCTTTACACGTTTTTCAATAGGAGATAAAATAAGCTCCGCCCATTTCCCCGCCAACCACACCATCGTAAGTAAACGTATTTATCAGCTCATTTTCGGTATTTACCGTCAGCGACAAGAAGCAGCGTTGCTTCCGTTTACCACATCTTTAAGGTGTTTAGTTATTCACTTGCATGATTGTCATTCTATGCCTTCATACAATCCACATCTGCGTACTTTAAAGGATTGTAGACATATAACTTTTAAAACGTAGTAGATACCACATTTCCTAGAAAAAGAAACTAAAAATGATAATAAAAACTCACTATGTTACTTACTGTCTGAGATAAAATTATTTTCAAGAAAGTAAAAATTAGTGATAAGACTATATTCAACGACAAATAAATTTTACTGAGGGTATTCCAATTTGCATAGGAATGAGTAACATTTACAGTTTAGCTGCTACCTTACCACTTTCAAATTTTCAAGTCAACATCTGATAGAGATTTTGGTACGACTAAATACTAATACAGACCAAATTCTGGCTGTTGTCCTTCCTAGTAGTAGCATTTACTATTACATTAGTGACCTTAATTCTTGCGTATGACTGGACAACAACAAACTTTTAACAATAGTAAAATTATAACCAAAGTTGTATGTACCCTTTCGTACATAACTTTTTATTTTTACCATACTGTATAGATATATTGTACAATTTTTACTAGTTTGTTTTTCAATGATAAGATTTAAAATGAGTCAAAAGGTTTGTATGTCGATTATCAATTTATGTATACAATGTACCTTGTTTATTTTATCTCTTAGAAAGCCACCACTTACAAAACTTAATAAATATTCTGCGTAGTAATTCATGTACATAAAAATAGTTATCTGCCTTTTGATCACATAGACAGCAAGTCTAGGTAACAGCTATTGACAGCCTGTATGTACAGATTTTAGAGTTGTTATTGAGTCAGTACAATGCATAAAAAGACCTTAACCTACGTCAGCTTACGTATATTTAATAATAAAAGGCTAAATCACATCCTATGACACAAAATACCTCACAACGGAGGTAAACAGAGATGCTAGGATACACTGAATATTTATTTCAACATTAAAATGGGACAAATTCACAAGTTTATGGTTATACAACGGAATTTCCCATAGTAAACGCTGAATTGTTCCGTGGTTATTCACTCGGTCAAAAATATGTTGTTTTTTCTACAACCCAACGTAGTCCTTTAAAGAAAGAAGGCACAGGCTTACTGTTCAGTTCTTTTTATTCGTGTTGTCAAAAGTGACTTCCATGTATCGCTTTCTAGTACTATTTGCTGAATATAAAAGATGTGCGTACAAGTACTACGTGTAACGCTTGAAGGCACACAAACCCTATCGCTCATGTCAACGAATGGTGGTGTGTGTCATTATACATGGGAAACATTCCCTTATGTTAATTCACCAACTTTAGTTTTTGCATATTATTATGCTAATTATCAGTATAAACGTTGTTACATTGTAACATTATATCTTAACAAATTTTGCATTTCTTGAATATCCTGTACTAGAATACGTTTTGACAAATTCAGAAGATGTTCAAAGTCAACTGTTATGCAGTTGATGTATGTGAAATTTATTACAGTTTCTATATCATTTGAAATATTTGTGTAACAGCAAGAGTTACCTCTCTTAATATTCTGTTTTCGTGAAAATTGGCTCCGCATATTAATTTTCGTCTATTTCCGTGATAATTCCATATATGGAAGTTGCAAAATCGTTTACAAATGTTAATCGCGTTAGAATGTTAAAGGAAAGTGTGGTGTTGTAAACCTGAGTGTGTCAAGTTGATGCAGTTACATTTTCAATGTCATGATGCACAACGTGTACGTTCTATCATTTACATTTCTACATGTCGCAAATTTGAAGTTATACATTTATAAATACAGTTTGCAATTTATCTAAGTTGCATGTTAACAGCTTCCGTTTTATCAAATCGAGATAATCAAAATGCTTAATACCAGTGCAGTATGTAATTCTCGGATCGACAATTATATTTTTACTAATCTGTTTAGTAGAAGCGAAGTATGCATTGTCAAGTTTCAAAGGCTGGATTTTTGGCCACGAATAGCCTCCAGTAATACAAAGTACGTGATCTTGGCAAGTTATTTAACGATGGCTTCCATTTTTTAGTTGTTCTTTTTAGCACTTTGGAATTGATGTCGTTAAAATTAACTGGCAAGTTGGATATATCTGAAGTTTTATCTGTACTAATGGCTCTTACTTATCAATACAAAGTATATGATATTGCCAACTTACATAACTTTGCCATCCATTATCCCGAGTTATTTCCCTTTTTATCACTTTGAAAATAGGGGGCCATGTACGGTTAATTTATTCCGGCAAGGTGAAGTTAACTTAATTCTCCTAATTACTTCATTTATATAATGTTTTGTCCATATTTGGTATTTTGGTGAAGTTAGTGGTCACTAGAGTCAAGGTCAATGGTGTAAAAAAATATGTTTTCTCATTTTTTGTACATACAGCATTTATTTCTAAATTCACGTCTTTTATGTTAACGGTCTTGCCTAAGGTCAAGGTCACTTGTGCTAACATTTTTTTCACACTTTTTGATATACAGTAGTAAGTAATACAGATTCTAATAGATAAGTGTCTTTGTTAACTGCTTAAAGATAATTATGTTTCATGTGTGTTTTTTTACTTTAAAGCTACACATGTAAACAGAAACCTGACAAATATTGTAAATGATCTTGTGTGTTGTGTTTGATATGAAAATTACTGATTAAGACATATTATTCATTGGACAGTACAAAATATTCATTTCATTTCGACTAAACTGCCGTTTAGTCGAGTAGTTTTGACAAAAGCCCAGCGGTCAGGTCCCTGTCGAGTTACACTTGCGGTGACTTCGAGATTACATATCTTCTTATAACTTGAAATGATTGTCTTATAACTTGAAATGATTGTAATGACAGATTTATTTCCTTTAAGAGTAATAAATTCCCTACCATTTGGTACCAAGATATTGAAAATTGGTTATATATATATATTTTTCTTTATAAACCTTCCTAACATTCAGTATTGCCTCAAGTTAAAACAAACTTTCAGATCTTTATCAGGCATAAATTACAGATTATACTCTGGTCATATTCTAAGAACCTTTAAATTAAATAAAAAACACGTACCCGTACTTTCTTTGCCTTTGGAAATTATTTGATATTGACATATAATAAAGTTCATTAGACAACAAATCATGAGCAAGGTTTGCATTTTTTTTCATTTTCTAATCGTATTTGTTTATCCGCGTTATCCTGAATTTCAGACAGAAACAAATGGAACTGATCATATCAATACGGCGGAAACTGGGTGTACCCCTTCATTTGAAACAGCAACTTCAATTCAGTCACAGGACAATTGCCCATTAGATGATGGGATCCGAACAGTTACATCTGATAAACGTAGGTTATTTATATCATTTACAAAATACTTCCTCAAGGCGAACCTATTGAAACCATTTATTGTAGCTTGGAATGAATTTATTGGAAGGCCAACTTCTCTTGGGGTCTAAGGCAAATCTCTCCAATATGTTTTCAGTGAGATTTGGCGTATATATAATATATCTGTTATTGTCAGGGGTTTATTAGACATTTCAGGAAATTAAATGAACAATGTTCATATTTTCATTTTCTTGGACAAAAATGAATGCCGTGGCTTACGTGTACAAGACCTTTACGAAGCCACGATACTGTTTATATACTGTACATGTAATTAACAAACGCCACGAAGTGCAGAGAAACATTTTATTGTAATTGTGGAATTTTAACAATTTATTAGAAAACTTATTCCAAACACGTATTTATAACAATTCTAATAGAATATAACTTGGCGTTTAACGACATGAGAAGTTTCAAGTTACGTTTCAACTCATCGCAAAATTCTAAAATAAGTTTCTAAACCGAAACCTGTAAATTTATACGTCTTGGTTTATTATTTTCCTCTGTATTGATACGACAGGCAACAATGCGGCATATAGTTCTGGCAGTAAAGCAGCCGATCCATCAGTTCAGAAAGGGTCATTAAATGGACAGGCTAACGAAGAAAGATCGACTGAACGAATTACCGCTAATGAGATTAACAAAAACTTTGAAGAAAAGAATTTTGAGCCGGACAGCAAAACTGATAAAACATACAGTACCAAACAAATATCTTTAAACAGACACAGTAACATATCTGAAACTGAGGCTCATGATGTAAATGTAAATGTGATTGGTGCCATAAACAACGATGATAGCAAAGCTAATGGAACTCTATCCCACACGAGCATAGATGCTGGCGGTGTTCCTTCGAGGCATGTTCAACCAGTGACGTCATCATTGCAAAGTTCTAGAGATAAGACAGTAAATATATTTATAAATCTTTCTCTATAAACATTCCTGACATTCAGTATTATCACAAGTTAAAACGAACTTATAGATCTTTATCAGGCACAAATTACAGATTATATTCTGGTCTTATTCTAAGAACCTTTTCAATTAAATAAAAACACGAACCTGTTTTTTCTCTGCCTTTGGAATTAATTTTTAATCGCTTATAAAAAAGTTCATTAGTCACCAAATTATGGGCATGCATTAAAAAATTGTTTCATTTTCGCATGGTATTTGTTTATCCACGTTGTCCTGCATTTCAGACAGAAACAATTGAAACTTATCATATCAGTACGGTTGAAACTGGGTGTACCCCTTCATTGGGAGCTGTAACTTCAGTTCAGTCAGACGGTAATGGACAATCTGATAATGGGAACGGGACAATTTCATCTGATAAACGTAGGTTATTTATATCATTTACAAAATACTTCCTCAAGGCGAACCTATTGAAACCATTTATTGTAGCTTGGTATGAATTTATTGGAAGGCCAACTTCTCTGGGGGTCTAAGGCATATCTCTCCAATATGTTTTCAGTACGATTTGGCGTATATATAATATATCTGTTATTGTCAGGGGTTTATTAGATATTTCAGAAAATTAAATGAACAATGTTCATATTTTCATTTTCTTGGACAGAAATGAATGCCGTGGCATATGTGTACAAGACCTTTAGGAAGCCACGATACTGTTTATATACTGTACATGTAATTAACAAACGCCACGAAGTGGAAAGAAACATTTTATTGTATTTGTGGAATTTTAACAATTTATTAGAAAACTTATTCCAAATACATTCTTCTTTTTTTGTTTACCCTTCAGGTTGGTATGAAGTGTTTACCTTCATGTCTTACAGATTAAACTGGAACACGTTTTTGAAGATCTACAGACGGCTTTTAGGTAACTATAGGAGTAACTAAATATAACCATGTCTTATAAAATGCTTCTGCAGACTAGTTTTAGATTCAAAATTAAACTAAAACCCTTTTGTTAATACTAATACAAAGGCAACTCCGTCATTAGTTGTTAATAAATAAAAAGGACACATAGGTCTATAATATGGGTTTTGAATAATTTGCAATACATTAAATTATGTAATGTTTTTAATTTTTAGCGGACACAGATAGCAAGGCGTTATCATATGTTGAAGCTGATATTGAGAACACTCGCCAAGAATATCAGTCTGTCAAAGAGACAATATACCGGCTAATGAATAAGTGGAAGCAGAGGAACCCTAATGGCACAATGCAAAGTATTGTTGAGGCATTAGACAAATGTGGGGAGAAGCTCATGAGCGAAAAGCTAATGTCATTTATAAACAATCTTACAAAAACTGGTTAATGGTGCTTAAAAGAGTGCTATTGAGCCATACATTGGTGAATGACATGCTCGTGGTGAGCTTCCTACATCTGTACTGACTGTAGACAATGGACGAATTGTGCAAGGATGTGTTTAGCAAAGAAATCATTCCTAATACCGTGAGCTATATGATATATATTATAACAATAAACTAGAGAGTTCCTGTAAGAAATAATAATGCTCAAATAAGCCAACCTAGACGTTGTAAAGGAAAAAAAGAAAACAAACAAAATACAAATATAGAATAATATAAGCCACAAAAAACACCGTATATGCTTTGCAGTTCTTCTTCAGTATAATGTATTCGGTGAACACTGTATGTAATTTTCATAACATCTGCTAAAATGAGTGACTTAGAAATGTAGTTTTTTCAATTACTACACATAATTATACAAATTATCTGCAAAATATATTCGGTTTTGATCTCATTATGTAAATACTGTGTGATTAGATATGATAGATATTGTATATTTCTTTTGTGTCAGTTTCCAAGTTTAAAGAAGTATTAATAGCCGCGCCATAACAAAAACAACATAATGCGTCTGCGACAAGCATGGATCCGGACCAGCCTGCGCATCCACGCAATCTGATCAGGATCCTTGTTGCTCGCTATCAGTGTCTCCACTTGTTATAGTGTTTGTAAGCGAACAGCATGTATCCTGATCAGACTGCGTGGATGCACAGGCTGGTCTGGATCCATGCTGGTCGCAAACGCATTATATTGGTTTTGTCATGGCGCGGCTCTTATTATTATTTTAGTAGTAGTAGTAGTAGTATGTTGTGCCAAAGGGAAACTTGAAATTGTCACATATTCTTAATCATCAGCAACTTTGCTGTTTAATTTTACCGTAAAAACATTATACATTTCGTGTTCTCTCAGCTGGAACAAGCTAGTCTTGCTACCATGTATTAACAATCTTTTTTACAAACAATTTGTACGATACTTTAAGATATTGCCGCTGAACCTCATATCAAGTTTTTCGATTATTGAATTCATCCTAGTCTGGTGCTAGTTTGCTTTAGAGATATTTCATTGTTCTTTGTATCTCTAGAATAGTTAGTAAGTTAATTATTATATTGATATACATGTACGTAAATGCTCCCTACTTGAGGGGCCTGCCTTCTGTAGAATGTTTAATATAAGAATTAGGGTTTAGTAAGGGGACCTTCAATGTTCCATTTTGTTCATTTTATAGATTTTCATCGTAATTTGTAAACGTAATTTGGTTAAATTGAATATGTAAATATTGTTTAAAAGTCATTATTTTCTATATGGGTATTCAGTGTTGATATTCGTTATTTTTTATACAGAGTTTACCAAAATTAAATTAATTATTGATATATGTTTAATAGATTGGTTTCTTATATGTTACTCCCGAAAATTATTGACCCTTTTAATTGTTATAACTAGTGCCATAATAATTAGATAAATTAAATCACTGCTCAAGCAACTCAAAAAGCAGTAAAATATTTTGTTTAAGTGTATAAAAAGAAGCTGTAAATCATTTCCCTGTAGTTTATAAAAAAAAATATTCTTTGCATTTTGAATGCATACTTTCAAAGTAACCTTAAGAATGAAATTCATGTTTTTATAATTCACGAAATCATTGCATTTTGTAAAATAGCATATTTATATTTTGTTCCGGAACATTTTATTCTGTTTCCGTATATCTACATCATTCATTTGTGTTGCATAACAGAGCTTTCTTTGTTACAACCCTTTTTAGAAATAAAGATAATAAAATTATGGAAAAAAGGTAATTTTGCAGTTCATAAAGTATAGAAAAAAAGTACGATACTGCTTTAAGTTACACTGAAACGAACGTAATGAACTGTACATTTTTGGAAATCACTATCACAAATTCCGACATTTATACAGCTTTATATAATTAAAAACCACACAAAATGAAAGATAAAGAAAAGATAATCTACTGTCCTTGATCGCTAAGTAAGTAGATATAGTCTAGATCAGTTTTGATTCCTTATACATACTTTTTTGTCATTTTGTCATAGGCAAAGAAGACAAAGAAGAATTTTGTCATAGACTTCACAAAGAAGTGATCTAACACGTGTATACTCTACAAGATGTCAATGTGTTTTTTTAATAAATTTATAAACGAGCAAATAGCTGGTATTACTACATTTTTTTGCAATTTTGTTTAAATAATTGCTGAGATTTTACAAAATTTAAACAGCAAAAAATACAATACGTGTCTATTTCACTGAAAAAAAAGCAACAACAACAACAAAAAAAGAAGAAAAAAACAAACACACACAAAAACACACACACACAAACCAACG